AGATGGAGGAGACGATGCAGGACGCCCTAGATGACAACGACGAGTGTGTAATTATTTCAGATGACAAGGAGTGCGACAAGGTGTGGGCCTGCGATGGTTGCGACATGATCAGGTACCTACACCAATTGGCCATGGCAGACCCAGACTGGAAACTACGAGTGGACATCTCCCCACGACGCGGCAGTGTGGATGTGGGGCCGAGCCGTAGCCGCGCTGCCCCCGTGGCTGTGCACCCGCCGCTACATGCCGCCGCCGACGGCGGCCACTCGCCCACCATGCGTTTTTTCCGACGGTGAAAGGAAAGTGCTTCTCCACCGCGGGCCAGAAGGTCTGCCAGAAGCCACTTCATAGCTGCATGCGAAGGGTCATTAATTGTTCAGATGCACCAGGGTCTAAAGGCTTTCAGATGATAGGCCGTGCAGTTCGAGATCTCCTCCATCGGTCGGGCTTGAGTTCGGAGGTCTTCAGCCTGAACCACGCAGCGGAGGAAGTCAGAGCTCTTCGGAAATCCCTCCCGTCAGAGTTATCCCCTTCGTGTGCGTGTTGTGGGACCCCCATGAAGCACCTCTCCCTCGTAGTCCTTTGAACAATGCGATTCTGGCACTATATCTCATGCCTGGTCGGAGATTGTCTGTAAGATAATTGAAGTGATTGGTGTGGATTCGACGTTGGTAAGCCAGTCCCGCACTCCGCGAACACGACCGTGGGCAGGATCGACACCGCCAGGATGGTTTAGAATTTCAGTCACTGATATACATCGAGCGTTGTTAGCGTTTTCCTGGATATCCTTGGTGCCCCTTGGCGGAATTATGTATGAAATGCGAGGGCTCCCTATAGGAGGTGTGCTTTCAGGGGTCGCCCTCTCGGTATTAATGTGTTGGTATGAGTACAAGGCTCGCCTCGATCTACCACGGCTGGGGCACGCTGGGTTTCGTCTCCCCTCAGAGCTCCAAGAACTACCAGTAGGACAACGTAGATATGTAGACGGCATTCTTGGGATGAGTACTCACTACTGTCGACAATGTACACACAACTACTTGTGCCAGGTGTACCCCATCAGGCTCAGCCCCGCTTCGCCATTGGAGGGCCCCGAGGAACCCTGCATCTGGGTCGATTTAGAGCTCCACGCGTTCCTGGGCCAGGTCCGCGTGCTCCCCAAGAACCCCAATCGGCCGTGGTTGCAGGGCTTGGAGGAGAAACGGGCCAAGTCCAACATCATCGAGTGGCCTGGGCTACCGCCCCGAAAGTTTGGCATGTTGGTCTCGTTGTTCACGTCCAGGTATGCCAGGGCCCAGTACTTGTCATTGACTATCGGAGCCACCACCGCATGGGCCCTAGAGCTGGTCCTTGAGTTGATCCTCCTCAGTTACCCCTTCGACATCATCATTGCTGCTGCTCATGCTGCACCGTGGAGTGTGTCTGCTCAAAAGGTTCGGGCGGTCCTGCGGGTTTGGCGCCACCACTTCCGCTGCGCCGGCACGCCGGCCATGAACAACAGAGAGCGACGTGGATGGCAGGGGGGCTCCTGGGGCTACCACCGTGGCTACGACCGCGGCAGGTACGATAAGTACGACAAAGACAAGTACGACCACTACAAGGACGACAGGCACGACCGCGACCGAGACCACGACTGCTACAAGGACAGCCGCAGTGACCGCGATCGTGATCGTGACCGCCGCTCCGACTCCAGGCACAGGAGGGGCCGACGCCATGATGACAGTCCCGACCCTCCTCGCTCCCGAGAGCGTCGGTCCCGCGACGCGAGCCGCCGTGCAGGCTCCCGGGACCGCCACCAGCGTGGCCACTCTGACCGTTCTTCCCAGAAGTCGATCGAGGAGCTTCGAAAGTCCCTGGCTGCCGTGGACAAGGAGTACGCCGCCTACCAGCACGACCTCCAGACCCGCCAGAAGGAGATGGAGCTTCGCAAGCAGGGGGAGTACGTGGCAGCTGCTCTGCGCAGCGCGTTCACGGCCCAGACCGACGAGCTCAAGAAGCAGCTAGGCCAGCGAGAGTGCCCACCGACGCCACCAGCACGCAGTCCGACGCCACCCAAGAACGACCAGAAAAAGGAGTTCTCACGTGCAAAACTTGGGTGGCTTCAGGCGGTAGTCGGCACCAAAACCAAGTTGCCCGCCACCGGTGGGAAGGTGGCGGTCGAGACCATTCTCGTGAAGGCGCTCAAGGACGACAAGGTGGCTACCGCCAATGCAACAAGGTGCTACGGAGCCACATGCCGCGAAAGCAGCTGCCGTCGAGCCACAAAGACAAGGTGAGTTCTTTGATTGATGTGGTCCTTGGGCGCATCGGCTGAGGACCAGAACGTAACGAACAGCTGCGTGATGATCCCAACCGCTTGATGCCAGAGGGGTATGATGAATTTTTGGTCTCTCCACATACGCTACGTGGTTATGTGCTGATCTTTTTCATCGTTGGCATCGTCCTGGGTGTGACCATCAAGTTATGGCTTCCATCAGCTGGCTATCGCCATATCGAGGTGTTGAAAGCATACTGGTTGTTAAATTGAAGCCACGTGCGTGAAGCGAGGTGTGTCCAGTATGTGATAGATACCCTGGAGCTTCCCTTTTCGGTTTTCTCGAGCAGTGAGGCGGCCATAGTCCAGTCATGTGTCTCAGGTTTAGTAGGAGTTGCAATCTCGACGGTTTTCTCTCGCGCAACAGGTGTCGACCCCCAGCAGTACCTCCAGAGGCCCTGTAGGCCCCGCAAGCGTGAAGCACTCCCAGCCGTCTCCGAATGCGTCCCCGTGGAGAGCATATCGGCTTCGGAGGGGTGCTGATTTTGCGGTCTACAGTCCTCCTTCCCTCCTCCTCCTCCCCCTCCCCTAGACATATAAGAAAAACAAAAAGAACTGGGGGACCCCGATCCTGAGGTGCCCGCTCCACTGGCTGTGCACCAGTGGTGCGAACACCCACCCTAGTCTGCTCCGTGGCCGAGGCTCGGGGAGGCAGTTCCCTCATGCGCCATGGGCTGTACCCCAGGTGGTAGATGGCACGATTCCAGCGAGCCCCTTGACCCTGTCCCTTGCTAGTAGAATCGTGAGCTGTCCCTCAGAGTCGACCCCGAGGGCAGGGCAGACGACTGCTCCACCAGGCTGCCGCAGCAAAGCCTGTTCCGCTTCGCCGCCAAGGCTGGGCCCTCCCTCCCTCTCTCCATTTCCATAGCCCACGTTTTCCTTCCCCTCGGCCTTTGGCACCAAGGTCTAGCCTGGCACGCGGTCGCACGTAAAGCGTAAGAGATTCCTTGGATGGGACTTTCTCTCTCTCTCTCTCTCAGCCCACCCTCAAACATCTCTCCGCCTCACTCTCCCCAGCGTGCTCCGGCAGAGCGTTTCCGGAGCACGTTCCGCCGTGCTCCCCAACGTGCTCCGGCAGAGCGTTTCCGGAGCACGTTCCCCCGTGCTCCGGCAGAGCGGTTCCGGAGCATGGTGCTCGCAGGCCACATCTCATCTCATCCTCCTACCATCCAAGTCCCATCCTATCCTCCACCTCTCTTCCGTGCCATCGTCGTTTGTGCTCGAGCCTCTTCAGATTGGCCTGCGCACCCAAGCGGTGCTCACAGTGCGTAGGTCGGCCGCCACTTCACGAAGTGCTCTGCAGTGGGCTCGCGAGGTGTCCAGTTGGGTTGTTCTCGGAAAACAGTTACTCTCTCTCTCTCTCGCTCTCCGGCACTCTCTGCTGGCCACAGAGCCTTTCAGTAGGCCCGCCTTGCTTCCTGTCCAGAGGCTCCCGTTTTCTCTGGCGTACTCAGCCTGGCCTCTCCTTTCCCTGTCCATCTTCCTGCGGGCCCCCGCCCTCTGCTGCTCGAAAGTTCGTGGGCATCGACGATTGTTTGTGCCTCTGTGCTGTTTTTTCCCTTCTGATCGGTTTTCGTTGCAACGCAGGGTGGCCAATGAGCTCTGAAGGTGACCCGCCATCGCTGCACCAAGGGCTGCTTCCCCTCCGCGTTGGAGGCAAAGGTGTGCGTGCGGGGCGGGTTGTCTCCATCCTTCGAGTAGGGGATCGCATGCAGAATTGATTTACCCTCAAATTGATGTTCTCGTCGGCTCTACGAAGCAATGCGTATAGTGTTCGTAGATCCACGGGACAGTCTCCGCATTTCTCGTAGACTCGACTGAAACATCAATTTTGGGATACATCCATTCTGTAGTCGAGCCCACACTCGAATCCTCGTCCCGTCCTCTCTCCGCTGCTGCTCTACTTGTGATGCTACATTGTCCTCGCTCTCCAGGTGTTCACTGTCATCTCTTCCTGTCGCGTCGACCCCTGGGGTCTGGCCCGCGGGGGGGGCTGCAGCTCGACCGTTGTGAAGGAGGTGAGGGAGGAAGACAAGTGTGAGCATGATGAAGAGATGGAAAACAACGAGGGCCCTCCCTCCTCCTCCTCCTGCTCCTGCTCCTGCTCCTCCCTCCTCCTCCTCCTTCTCTCGTTGCTGACTTTGGCCAGTGGACAGGAAGAGCAAGCTTGTTGCTAATTACTCCCTCCTCCTCCTCCTCCTCCTCCTCCTCCTCCTCGCTTCGAGCAAGAACTCTCCGGACCTCCACATGGGCGCGAGTTGAAGTGACTCGCGAAGGAAAACCAGCGGTAGCGACAAGACGCCTCAAGGAGTTCCAAAAAGGGAGAAACATAAGCAAAAACACTCGAATCTCGACCCTCCAACCTCGCTCCCTTCGCTCTCTTTCCTCCCGCTCCCCCCTCACATCTTCACTCAATCCTCCCTCCTCCCCATCACCCCAGGCGCCTCTTGGGGCCTCATTCGAGGCGCCCAGCCCTGAACCCAGAAAGGTGTGCATCTCCAGGAGGGGCGGTTCTTACTTCCTGGATTCCGCCGACCCTCCGCCGGGGGAAGCTCCCTCCTCTCTCATTCCGCCGAGGAAGAGAAGGCAACCTCCTGCCCCTTCGAAGGAGAGGCCCTTCCAGAACTGGCCGCATGGGGGCCGCCTTTGGGCCGGGGGAGGCACGTCTGGCAACCCCCGATCACCCTGCCTCGGCGAAGATGAGGATGAGGATCATGCCGACGAACAGGCGCTGCTGCTGAGCGTTGGCGCGCACCCCCGCGTCGCCGACGATGCCGATGGCCAGGCCGGCCGCGAGGGAGCTCATGCCGACCTCCCTCGGCCACGGCGAAGAAGAGAAACGCAGGAGGAGCGAAGGACGCCTGTCGGAGCCGTCTGTGGACTTCCTCGACGACCTGTGCGTTTGCTTTTCTGGCACCGCGTGGGCCCACCTCCGGGGAGTCAGGGTCTCGAGTCCCCTCCCGCTGCGCGTGGGGGGGGGGGGAGGGGGAGGGACGGGCGACGGTCAGACAGACACGGAGCCAGCGGACAGGAGAGGGAAGAGGAACAGGGGGATGAAACCGTCGGCGCTCCCAGAGGGCCACGATATCCTTTCTGAATCACGCGGGATCCGTGCCCCCAGGCACGCCGTCCTTGGCAGATCGTGCGGGGTCCGCGCTCCCAGGGCCACGACCCTTCCTGAGCTGTGGATGGCCCGCGCTCGAAAGGCCACGACCCACTGTAAACGGCAAGGGCCCGCGCCCCGAAGGCCACCGTCTCCTGGGCCACCGTCCCCGGCAAATTAAGCGGCGTCCGCGCTCCCAGGGTCATGAGCCCTCGTGCATGACTTCGGGGTCGGCGCCTACCGGAACGCGATGTTTCGGCAGTTACAAAGAGTCCACGGTAAGATGTTGCCAGTCCGGACTCCGATGGCCTCGACCCTTTCCCGCACACGTTTGGCTCGCACTGCGATCTTTTCGGCCATGCGCAACATACAAGGGATCCGCACTCCCTGGGTCGCGGTCGCGGGTGAATTGGGACGAATCCACGCCCCGGCGACGATCCCTCCCAAAAACGATACTCCAGATCACAATCTGCCGAGGGAGCGCGATCCACCGTCGCCGCCGGCCTGAACATGTTCTCTAAGAGGGGGTGGGGGGCCAGGGGGACCCTCCCCCCGCTTCCCCGTCGTCGTCGTTGGCGTCTTCGTCGTCGCTGCGGTGTCGCGTTTCCCTGCCGAGCCGTGGAGGCGGTCCGCCGAGTTTCCCTCCCGAGCTCCGCCGCCGGATCGGGGGGACGCCCCTGGTCGCCTCCTGCCCCTGGGCCCCAAGCAATTCTTGGGGTACCAAGCGGGCCCCTGTTTGGAATCGGATAAACTGCCCTGGGGGGCTGCTGGGCCCGTCGCGGTGGCCGCCGGGCGCGGCCCCGGGTAGTTTTTGAGGTACCAAACGGGCTTTCGTTCGGCTTTGCAAAAACTGCCCGGGAGACCCTTGAGGGCCGCTGCAGCGGCCCGCCTCGGTGGCCGCCGGGCGTGGCCGGCTGCCCGGGAGGCCGGGGGAGTGCCTCCAGGCCTGCCGGAGTGTGCTTCGGGCCTCTTCTCATTCGGGGTAGGCCCTTTTTGCGGAAGATGGATCGCCGATTGCCTCCCCTCCTCCCTCCTTCCCTCCATCCTGGTCGGTTCCCTCTTGGAAGTCTGCGTGGAGTTCCTGGGTCGGCGTAGGGCCCCCCTCGCCAGCGCTCTGAGCGGGGGACGCTGTTGCAGCAGTGTCCGGAGTGTGGCGAGGAGGGTCGGGCGTCGACCAGGACCTCGGCGTGGGCCCTTCGAGCAGGTCGTGGCTGGGGATGGCTTTTGAGATGGGCCGGCAGCGCGCGCGTCCCTCCCCCCCCTGATCCTCTCCCTCCATCTGGCTAACCTCGTACCTGCAGGGTGCAATGGCGAAGGATGGAGTCGAAACCAGGCGAGGATCCCTGCCGGAGAGCCGCTAATGCCCCCTCCTTGGCATCCAGCTTTGGGCGTGGCACCACCCCGGAAGGAGCCTGGAAATTCAGGGAGGCTCGGGCACGGTAGCACGCAAGTCCTCGTACGTTCCCCCTCTCTTCCAGGGCTGTTTCCCGAAAATGGTCTCATCCATCCTGGGCTGTCGTTATGGGGTTTGCTGTCGGTCGCCGGTTGGGCCCCGCAGCTCTCCACTAAAAGGGCTGAATCCGCAGTCCCAACATGCCACCTCGGTGGGAGGTCCAAAAAAGGAGGCTCTTCCCCCCCCAGGAAGAACCCCCGGGGTCTGAAACGCTCGAGGGAACAATCCCGGCGAACTGCCACCAATCCCTCCTGACCGCCTGGGGCCAATCGCGGCTGCGTGTGATTTAGATTGGGGCCAATGCCGGCTGCGTTTGCAGATCAAGTGCAAACTAACTATATCATGCAGACACTCCAGAACTACATGAGTATGCTCAAAGACGGCCACTCGCACTTTCCATCTTCCATCGCAGGTATTGGTCCCTGTGTTCTCCGACTCCTAGGGGAACTGATGTTCATCGTGTACGACTCCTGTGTGAATCGTACACGGCTCCGGTGTGAAATATGAAAGATTATAATGTATACGCTTCCGACGTGAATCGTATGCGATTCCTTTGCGAAATAGTTCCCGCCTTCACTGTATACGACTCCTGTGAAACGGACCCGATTCCGATCTGATTGTTGTATGATTATTGTGTTTCGCTACGAATCCTATGCGAATCCTAAACGGCTCTTACGCGAACCGTATGCGAATCCGATGTGGGTCGTATGCGATCCCCGTGTGAAACGTATACAGCTCTTGTGTGAAATGTGTATGAATCATGTGTGAAACGTATGCGAAACCAAATGTGCGCCGTATTCGGCGTCTATGTGAAACATATACGGCTTGTGTGTCAATCTTGCACGAGTCCTATGCACTTCGTATACGAATCCTGTGCGAATCGTATACGATTCCAATGCAAACCGTGGACGGTTCTGTTAAACGTATAGAACTGATGTTAATCGTACGCGAATCATGCGTGAATCGAAAACGGATCCTATGTGAATCGTACTCATATTCGATCTGTATCGTGCACGATCCCTCAGTGAATCGTATACGATTCCTATGCAAACCGAGTACGACACCTCTGTGAAGCGTATACGTTTCTGTGTGACTCGCATGCGCTTCCAATGTGAATCGGAAGCCGTTCCAATGTGAATCGCACGCGGTTCCCACTTGAACCATATACCCATAATGTGTGAATCGTTTACAAAAATTCTGTGAGCCCAAACGGTTGCAGCCTGAGACGACTTCGCTTCCGATGTGAACCGCATGCGATTTCTTTGTAAATCGTCTGTGGACCGGTGTGAATCGTACACGATTCCTGCGTTGACCATAAACGACTCTGATGTGAACCGTATGAAGACCGATATAAATAATATGCGGTTCGAATGTGAATCGCAGACGACACCATATGTGAAACTTGCGCGCGTGCTGTGTGAATCTTATGCGGTGCCAATGTGAGACGTATGCAGACGTGTATCGTATGCAAATCCTACCTGTATCGCATGCGATTCTCGTGTGAATCGCATACGTTTCCCTATGTGACTCGTATAACGAACCCGATGTGAATCGACTGCGATCCCTATGTGGGTCGTATTCGGCTATCATGTAATTCGTAAACGATGCCTGAATGAATCGCGTACGAGTCCTGTGTGAATCGTACGCGGTGTTTAATGCGAACCGTGTACGATCCCTATGTGAAGCATATGCGTTTCGAACTTGGCTCGTTTACGATTCCTACGTAAGCAGCATGCGATTCCTAGTGCATCCTTGACTAGTACTGCTTAAGGCATCAGACGGGCACTTCTCGAGAAGTGCGACTTACGAAGCCCACGCAAGTGGCGACAATTGTGCAGATCGCAGCCCCCCAGGGCGCCGCGAGGTATCGAGGTGGTCCGCGTGGGACCCACCTCCGCTGGGCCTCCCAGGAGCCAACGAAAGTGGCGACAGTTGCGCAGATCGCAGCCCGACGGCACGAGAAGAGGAAAGGGGAACACAGGAAACAGGAGAGGAGGAGGGGAGGAGGGGGAAGGAGGAGAAGGACGGGGCGACCACACTGCTCTATTCCAAACGAGTACCCATCCATAGGAGGTTTGGGACATTACCCTGCGACGTACCCAACCCTTTCAATGCATGTGGTGGTTACATTCGGGACCACTCAATGCTGACGGGCATGCTGAAAAACCCGCAGTGCGGAAGAAGAGCACCCATCAGTGAACTCAGAAGGGCGCAGCAAGAAGAGGGTCTCCCAGGAGCCCACGAAAAAGGGCGACAATTGCGCAGAACGAAGCCCCCCAGGGGCACCGCGTGGGACGTACCTCCGCTGGGCCTCCCAAGAGCCCACGAAAATGGCGACAAATGCGCAGATCGCAGCCCCCTAAGGCGCCGCGAAGTTTCGAGGTGTTCCGCGTTGGACGTATTTCCGCTTGACCTCCCAGGAGCCCACGAAAGCGGCGACAGTTGCGCAGATCGCAGCCCCCCAGGGCGCCGCGAATTCTCGAGGTGGTCCGCGTGGGACGTACTTCCGCTGGGCCTCCCAGGAGCCCACGAAAGAAAGTGGCGACAATTGCCAACTTCGCAGCCCCCGAAGGCGCCGCGAAGTCTCGAGGTGGTCCGCGTGGGACGTACTTCCGCTGGGCGTCCCAGGAGCCCACGAAAGCGGCGACAATTGCGCAGATCGCAGCCCCCCCATGGCGCCGCGAAGTCTCGAGGTGGTCCGCGTGGGACGTACCTCCGCTGGGCGTCCCAGGAGCCCACGAAAGTGGCGACAGTTGCGCAGATCGCAGCCCCCCAGGGCGCCGCGAATTCTCGAGGTGGTCCGCGTGGGACGTACTTCCGCTGGGCCTCCCAAGAGCCCACGAAAGCGGCGACAGTTGCGCAGATCGCACTCGAGGTGGTCCGCGTGGGACGTACCTCCGCTGGGCCTCCCAGGAACCCACGAAAATGGCGACAGTTGCGCAGATCGCACCCCCCCAAGGCGCCGCGAGTTCTCGAGGTGTTCCGCGTTGGACGTACCTCCGCTGGGCCTCCCAGGAGCCCACGAAAGTGGCGACAGTTGCGCAGATCGCAGCCCCCCAGGGCGCCGCGAATTCTCGAGGTGGTCCGCGTGGGACGTACCTCCGCTGGGCGTCCCAGGAGCCCACGAGAATGGCGACACTTGCGCAGATCGCAGCCTCCAGGGCACCGCGAGGTCTCGAGGTGGTCCGCGTGGGATCCACCTCCGCTGGGCCTCCCAGGAGCCCACGAAAGTGGCGACATGCGCAGATCGCAGCCCCCAAGGCACCGCGAGGTCTCGAGGTGGTCCGCGTGGGACCCACCTCCGCTGGGCCTCCCAGGAGGCCACGAAAGTGGCGACAATTGCGCAGATCGCAGCCCCCAGGGCACCGCGAGGTCTCGAGGTGATCCGCGTGGGACGTACCTCCGCTGGGCCTCCCAGGAGCCCACGAAAATGGCGACAGTTGTGCAGACCGCAGCCCCCCAGGGCGCCGCGAGATCTCGAGGTGGTCCGCGTGGGACCCACCTCCGCTGGGCCTCCCAGGAACCCACGAAAGTGGCGACAGTTGCGCAGATCGCAGCCCGACGGCACGAGAGAAGAGGAGAGGGGAACACAGGAAACAGGAAAGGAGGAGGGGAGGAGGGGGGAGGATGAGAAGGACAGGGCGACCACACTGCTCTATTCAAAACGAGTACCCAACCATAGGAGGGTTGGGAAAAACTTTCAACGACCGGCGTGTTTGTCGTTGCTTGTCCCCGACGCCTGTGGGCAAGAACGAGACACACGCCCACGGCACGGCTCGCGGGCGGCCCTCCTGCTCCCTCGCGGGCGGCCTCTGGGCAGGCACGCCAGCTCGTCGAACCCCCCTGCAAACCTGCCATCGCTCGGACGTCCATTCCCCGTGCATTTTTCGGTTTCGTGTCTGTTTTTGTTGATGGTTCCCTCCGAGAAAAAATACACACGTCCGAGCGATGCCAAGACAATCTCACTTGCGAGGCCCGGTCTTCGAGGAAGAGGGCCTCGGCGCAGGGCACTTGCCCACTGCCGGATTTGCCCCGCCTGGGGGAGCAGACCCGTTCCTTCCTGGCCCAGGGTGTCTGGCATCATCGACGCCCCACTTGGGGTGGACTGAGTCGAATTGAGATGAGTTGGACTGAATTGAGGAGGAGGAGGAGGAGGAGGAGGAGGAGGAGGAGGAGGAGGAGGAGGAGGAGGAGGAGGAGGAGGAGGAGGAGGAGGAGGAGGAGGAGGAGGAGGAGGAGGAGGAGGAGAGGAGCAGCAGCAGCAGCAGCAGGAGGAACACGAGCAGGAGCAGGAGCAGGAACAGGAAAATATTCAGGGATACTGGGTATGGCGCGCCACGGCACCGGCGCGTCTCACTGAAACACGAGCAAGAGGAATGAGCAGGCATCAAGGACCCCAGTGACGGACCAACGCAACATCATCTTGAAACGTAGTTTCCTCAAGAGGGACACCACCAATCATGGATCGGAGGGGAATCGGCGCAAGCCCGGTGGAGAAGTGACAGGGGGCGGGCCTTATCAGAAGGCTCGGAAGTCCCGAAACCTTCTGAAACATGGTCCAATACCTCCACGATGACACAAACCATGTCCCAGAAGGCCGGAAGGTTTCTGAAAGCCCCGCCGCCTTCTGAGGAGGCTTGCGTACTCCTTCCCGCTCCCCCCCCCCCGCACGCCCGCCGCCGAACGGAAGAGAGGGCGCGCGCCGCCCCCCCCCCGAGTGGCCGTGAGCCCGGCGGCGAGGTGCGCGTATCCGAGGTAGGCGGAGTACCTGCCAGCGCGCCCTCTTCGCCACTGCTCATTGAGGGGGCTGCGGGGGGCGTTGTCATCATGCTACCATACAATAAGGGCCCGACCATAAGAAACCCAGCCGTGAGACCCAAGAGCGCCCATATATTGGTGTGGGAACGTCACGCTTTCCACAACACAACTATCGAACACCAAGAAACTAAAGGCACCCTGGAGGCAAGCAGAGTGTTTCTTGGCATGGGCCTCCATTGTAAGGAACGAGAGGACGGAACGAGAGGGGGGCTCTTCTGGACACGGCGGGCCTCGGCAACGAAGACAACAAAGAGGTTCCCTGGCCTGGGTCTCAAAAGCGGCCCACACACTTTTTCGTCGGCGGAGAAGCAAAATTGCTGCTCCAACGGGCGATCGGGGCAACCGATGCGCTAACCCTCCGGGGTGCAAGAAGGAGGGACTAGACAGACAGGGCGGCTGTGGATTGCACGGGTGTGGCTGTAGGGATACAGAGAGACACGAGGTACACATAGGGGGTTCGTGCGAGAAGAGACCACGTTCTTTCCTTTTACGGAGGCGTGGGCGCGTCCGTCACCGGCGCGCCATGATAGCTCAAGGGATCTGATGAGCCGATATGGCGGCGCACAAGGGAGCACAGAAAGAGGTGCAGGAGGAGTAAGGGCCGACAGGGGCTTTGCAATCACATCTCCTACCTTTCTTGAAGCCGAAACGCCGCCTCGCCTGAGAAGATGCAATTCTTCTCTCAATACGTACCGTAGATATCCCACGTACTACCAAAGCCTCAGTGAACGCGAAGCTGGCACAGCTTCGCGAATACGTAGGACTCGAGACGACCTCTCAGAGAGATCCTTGAACCGATTGTCTGACCCGAGGTCCGTGGCGACAGCGGCTTCACCCGAATTCGCTGCGTCCGTAGCCTGCCCCATCTGGTCAGTGAAACTCTGTGGCTCGGTTCCACGGTGGTCTAATGTTTTGTCGGTGCTCTCCAAGAAGCGATCTGCCGCACTGAGCTCCCTGGTCCACTGAGGAACCCACCTCTCGTCCTTGGGAACCAGGTCTGACCTCGAGAGACGGAAAGTCGGAGTCCTCGGTTGCTTCATCTAAGTACGCGCGTACACTCGGAAGCGCTGTCGGGGTGGCTTTCGCCGCGAGGTGCGTCCTGACCGTGCGATTCCAAGCCATGTGCCATCCAAAGACTTGCCCCTTCGCATACATCTTACCCCAAATCCCCCTCACCGTCGCAGCGTTGACCCAGGGCGCCTCGACGTAGACGCTGCCTCCGGTCTAGCACCACCCACTGCTTGTGGACATGCTGCTTGGGATAGCCTGCGCGACGGTGGCGGTCCACCTGCAGCTCGAAGATGCAAGAGCGCAGGCCCATCTCCGGGCTGACGTCCGATGACGCATGCGCCGCGCAGTGGGCGCAAGAGGCGCGGCGAGACGCCCCATTAAGAGAAAATACCGCAGACGTTCTCACAGCTCGAAGGTCCTGGCCACAGCTCGAACAGCGCCTTCTCGCTCCAGGTGGATGCCAATGCTGCAGAGTCGGCACCGTGATAGGCAGTCTCGATCTGGGCCTTCTTCTCGTGAAGCTCCTGGTCACGCTGCATCTCCCGAGCACATATCTGCGCCAAATCCACCGTCCACCACTGTCAAGTTGGATTCGCATCCGGCCCGTGGACATGAAAACCGTTGATGGGTCCCGAGATGCGATCGCGAGAAAAGCAAAGATCTCGATCCCCGATTGAGCTTCCAGAGCCAACGCGGCCCAAGCAGTCGCAGTGAAGGGGGGCGTCGACTTGGTGGTCTCTCGCCACTTCGACCTTGTGGCTCGTCTCTCAGCGTTCGCTCATGATGTTATTCAAGACCTTATCTTTGTTTTGGTTTTCCCCTGGAGAGCTTGCGAACCTTCCCCCAGCGGGCGCCGATGCGCTTCTCTTCAGGTCGAAGAAGTATATCACCCTGCTCTGCTGGAGCAGCGGCGCAACGATCAATCGGCGATGCAGCCTTCATGGCCTCGGTGACAGATCAGCCCATTGGAGGAGGGTCCTCGACGAAACCTTCGAGGTCGCCCAGTGCGCCGTCCAACTCGCTGACGCCCCCCATCCTGCGTGAAATTTCTTCTCCTCCGCATGCGTCGCCGAGCATCCTGATCTGGTCCAGGATGTCCTCGATGGTTTTCTTGCCAGCCCCCCCCAACTGTCGACCATCATATGCTGATTCTCCCGTGAGCGATGCTATGGGTTTCCACCGATCCTCGGAAGGTCGTCGCAGTTCACATTGGGGGCAATGGCCAGCGCTGCAGGTACCCAGCGAGGCAGGTCGTGGAATGGCGTCTCGACGAACTCTGACACCGGGTGCAGATCAGAGGGATCATTGAGATCGGTGTGCGTGCACACCTGGAAGTATGTGCCAAGGCTGTCGTAGTCCCCAGTCTCGTCTGCGTTCTTCAGGTAATCCTGCGAGATTTCGTGCTCGAACGTGTTGCACGACCCAACCAGACTCTGAGCGATGCAAAGTGGCATTTGCGTCAACAACTTCAGACGAACGCGGGAACCAGGTTGTCTTGGGCACTGATGGTGCACGGCCATCATCTGCCACGCGGGGCCGTTGAAGGTCGCGCTGGAACTCGAATTCTGAGCGGGCGGCCGAGCACGGCTATTGAATGCCAAGTAGTAGTAGGTCACATCGTCGGTCGGCCATCGTCCGTTCCTTTCGAGTTCAGATGGTCCGTCCGTCATAACCTCCGCAGGCCTTGCATCATCTGCAGGACCTTCTCCACCTCCACCTTCAAAGTGTAGTCCAATAGTTGTTTGCACGCAAGATGATCTGGTAGAGCGATGAGGTCCTACACGATGACACAGGCGCGGTGTGATCTCCAGCAAGACACCCCATATTCTGAACGCCCTGGTGTGACCACATCTTTGCGAGAGCTATGCTGCGGCTCCCGCGCCTTGGGTGATACCCGGTAGACGTACCCGAAGATCTTGTGCGGTGGGATATCGGGCTTGTCGTTGGGGATCTCCACCAAATCGCTCACGGGGATGAACAGTCCAGCTTCTTCGCTAAGTGCCCGGCTTGCCGCTTGCCTGGCAACGCAATCGAAGTCCAGGTCTCGCTTGTGAACAACGTTCCGATCGGCGCGATCAACTCGTCCTCCTGGGGTGCCGGCCGCACTCGAACACAACGACCGCGACCATGACAACAACGCCGAACACGACTACCACGAAGCAATGACGAGCACCACCACGCCGCCGAAGACGACAACCCCGCCATGGCGATGTCGTAGTCATCTCTGCGGCACAGTGGTCTCCCCCCGAAATCCACAATCCAAAAAGGTGGGGCGGCGGTGTCTGCCCCCTCAGGGGCGTTCAATTAAATCAACCCTGTGCAATAATGTTCGTACTCCATGCAGCTAAGCCTTGCCTTGTCTTGGTCCACCTAAGGATTACAAGAGCACGTCAGGGAAATTGTCTCATCCTAGCAATGTGGGGGTATGGTAACCCTGGTCCCCGACTATGTGGGGATTTTGAGTGGCAAACATTGGGATCCAACTCGGAGATATACGATGAGGGGGCGTTCATCTTGGATAGGTTTGCGTCCGAGTTTACCATTGTTTTCTCCTCTGAGAGACCAACTTTTTCGGAGGAAGCTCGGGGATCGGGGGCGAAAAGTCGCCTATGGATTTTGGCAGCAGGCCCCCCTCTCCCAGGCGCCCCTTCTCCTCCTCGCCGCGGGATGATCTTCAGCGGCCGCACCTCGCCGAGAGTAGTCTGGGGATGCCCGAATCGTCCCTGGCGGCTGCTGGAGGACTTCAAAATCTGGATCTCAACAATTTCGATTGGTTAACTGGGTTCCCCTCGAAATTCGGGCCAGAACGCATCTGAGGAAAGGTCCGTGGAGCGATGCTTGACATCTGCCGAGTCTCCTCGCGTTTTGACATCAATCACGACGAAGACCTCTTACAAATGTTGGTCCCTGGCCCTTGCCAAGCCGCAGGACGGTCAGAAAGCGACTCGCCATCTGAAAACATGCCTCAGGAACAGGTCGAGACATCTGGAACTTCAGGTCTCTTTGACACTAATTATGACGTCAGGGTCTGGGTCTCCGCCTTCTCCTACTCCTCCCCGTTCTGTTCCCAACTTCTTCGTCCCGGTCCCGTTTCGAGCCCCTGGAGAATCTGCGGAGACCTCCGGAGGCCTCATCGCCTCCTCCTCCTCCTCCTCCTCCTCCTCCTCCTCTGCCTCCTCCTCTGCCTCCAACTCCTCTTCCTCCAACTCCTCCTCCTCCTCCCTCCTCCTCCCTCCTCCTTCCTCCTCCTCCTCCTCCTCCTCCTTCCTTTCCTCCTCCTCCTCCTCAACATGATCACCATCGCGATCACTGCCACCGTCCGATCGGGATTCTGGCACGAGGCAGGCTGCGAAGACACTCGCGCTGATGTCACCACTGATGCGGGCGAGAGATGTCGGGCATCCGCCATGGGCCTCGCGCCCACGCGACGGGGCACGGGACCGCCCTGTGTGAGCGGTCGGAGCGGCGTCCACCGGAGGGATGCGCCACGGCCACTGACAGGCGCACTTGCCTGGCGCTGGAGCTCGGGGCGGGGGGGGCGTCGAGGGCCGTTCATAGCCTGGACTCAGATCTTGTCGGCAGGCCCCAGCACCGTGTGCCGACGACGACCGAAAGGCTGCGGCGCGCCTGATTCCTTCTGGTCCGCATACTGATTCGCGACTCGCGGCGCGAGCACTGGCGACTTGCGCATGGGCCGGCCTCGTTGCGGCCTTTCTGGTTCCGGGCCGGTCCCACCACAGAGGGCCCTCCCCTGACGCGGCTCAACTGTCAGCGAGGCTGGCTTTGGGCGCCGCGATCGGGGCTGATTGCGACATGCCCGACGCCCGACGCCGCGGACGCCGCGGGGCCCCGAAGGCCCTTGCGCAGCTGGTTTGGCGCGCAAGCTGGCGCGGCACGTCCCAACATAATATGGAAAGGAAAGGCCGCGAATGGCCGCGA